GTTTCCGAGGCTTTAAATCTTTATGGGAGCAGAAAGCCTCCTCTTTCTCCCACAAAACAGCTGGTAGTTTCAAACTGCTAACCCTTAACCACTACGCTACCAGAGCTCCATATATATACGTATGTTCATTTATTCGTTGTTGTTGTTAAGTGCCTTTGAGTTGGTTCTGACCCATAGTGACCCTGTATAGGGTTTCCAAGGAATGGCTGGTGAGCTTGAATGGCTGACCTTGAGGTTCAAACTGACTTTGCAGTCCAGCATTTGAACCACACGGCTGGTGGTTCAAACACACCAGCTGCTGCTTGGAAACCCTATCCAGGGTCGCCATGAGTGGGAACCAACTCAACAGCAATATAAATACACACACATACACATATAAATATATAACGAGTCCTGGTGTGGTGCTATAGAATAAGCACTGGACTGCTAACTGTAAGGTTTGCAGTTCAAACCCACCAGCTGCTCCTTGGAAACCACACAGGGTCGCTATGAGTCGGAACCGACTCCATGGCCATTAACAACAACAATAACTTACATAAGAAATTATGCCCCCACCCCAACAATAACAACCCTACAAAGTAGACAGTGAAAGTATATTTATTCCTATTTAATAAGATGATGACAGTTAGACTCAGAGAAAATACGTAGTTAATTCAAGGTCATAAAGGCGTAGAGGTGAAACATACCCTCAAGTCTTCTGCCCATTAGTCTAGTCCTCTATTCACTACAGTTTATTAGAGTCTCTTTTCCTCTAATTCCTCCACTCCTCAAAACTTCATTAATATATTCCTTACTTTTTCTAGCCCTGTTTCAATGACTTTTCTAGGTATAGTCAAGGTATAAAAAAACAAAGCCATGTCTTCACCCATTTATTTCAACAAATGCTTATGTAATACATAATTCACAGCAGGGAATGGAAGAACATAAAGTTCAATACTATGAAGCCCTTATTCACAATTCAGGCTAGTGAAGGGATCAGGCAGTAGAAAGTTATTTAATTCAATATAAACACAAAATAAAGGTATTAAAAACACAGAATGGAAAATGTACCATCCAAAGTGTTTTAATCCTCAGGGTGTTGCTACATACATTTTCTGAGTCTCCCAAGAGGTCACATACATCCCATTACTATTGAGGAAGATGAAACTGAGTGAAGATTGAGGTCTCATAAAAGAAATCCCAGTCAATTAAGTTACAATATTTACTTTTATTTTATGGAAGAGTAAAAAAGTTTTCTGATTATTTATAAAATCAACATAAGTGATGATAGCTGCAAATTCTCATTTTCAAACACGTTTATTTCTCTTTTTGTCCTCTCTCTTTCCCTTGTCTTTGTTAAGTGCCGTCGAGTTGGTTACGACTTAAAACAACCTTGCAGTCCAGTACTTATGCTACTGTACCACACCAGGACTCCTTGTCTCACTTAAGGAAACTACTTATATATATTCACAGTGCATGGAACATAGTAGTAGTAGCAGTATGCTTCAGTCCCACCTACTTTACTGGTTCTTAAGAGCTGCAGTACATGTGTGACAAAAGCTGATGGCTACTAATTTCAATAAAAAATTTGAAGAATAGAACAGTACCTGATCTTTCCAGCTGTTTTATCTATAGATTGTCTTATTTTTCTAGAGAACTGAAAGACGGACGATAGCAGCAAATTATCTCCCATGACCTGAAACATCCAAGAAAAAATAAGCATCAAAATATTACCACTGTGTTGTATAACCACCAATTATACAAGAGCATTAGCTACAACTCTTATAGGGCATTTAATACTTACGCTAATTTTAATAAAAGATAAATAACAAAATGAGAGTAATATTGAAATTTTGTTGTTGTTGTTAAGTGCTTTGGAGTCAGTTCCGACTCAGAGCAACCCTGCCTGTTTAGGGTTTTCAAGGCTTTAAACCTTTTGTGGGAACAAAAAGCCTCATCTTTCACCCATCATACTGTAACTAAAATAAAGATTATTAACCTAGGGACTTCCTTGTTAATTAATCTGGCAAGTTTCCTAATTATTTTGATGATAGCCATTTTTTAAAAAAATTGGTTTTATCCTACTTTGAATTACTATTATAACCCTGTCTCTTATACCTTGAATTCAAGTTACCATAAAAGGGAAGGTGTAGTTTAGAGTACTATATTTATTACTTATTCTTTCACCAAATGATATGACTATAGAGACTGAGAAGAGTGTATTCCACATAGTGCAGTGGCACAATTTATTTAAAATGTTAAATAAATTTCTGATGTCTTAATCTGCCCATCAGCTTCAATGTTTCATCCTCTTTTAAAATATAAATTTCTTCCATATAGTTTTGTAATATTTAGATGAATTTATTTTCTAAGTCATTTATGAATAGGGATAGGATTAGAGAATTATCTTGAACTGATACCAAGAAAAATTAATCAATCCATGCCAAGAAAGTGTGTTGTAAAACCATCTAGTACACTGGAATTGCAACTTTGAAGCTAGCTACATAGTTTCCCATCAAGTAGGTTCTACTGTAAGTAACCACACATAGGAGGGTATGTCAAAAAATACTGCAACAAAATCATAGAGCCCTTTCTTAAATGAAAATACCAAAAATGGAAAGGTATTGTTTATCAACATATCTTCCATCTGGGTCTATACATTTCTGAAGGTAGTGTTTCCATCTCTCTAATTCTTCTCCAAAGAAGTGTGTACTCTTTAATTTACACCACACATCAAAATGGAAGTTTTAGAATCCTCAAGGGATCCAAAATTGTATTTTCAATGTTCTTTGAGTTTGGGAACAAAAAGAAATCTGAGGGGGCAAAATCAGAGCTATAGAGTGGATGGAGTAGATTTTCCAATAGAATTATCCTAGGAGAGCCGTTGCTACTTTTGTAGAATGAACAGATGCATTGTACTGGTGGAAAAGAATTTCTTGGTGCAAGTTTACTCATCTATTTATCACTAACGCAGTTTTCAATTTTCTTAAAACTTCTTCATAGCAACTCCCTGTGATTGTCCTGTGTGAGCACACCTTTCAGGTTACCCCCACCCTGCCAAAATTGTCACCATAACCTTTGGATCTGATCATTCTGCCTTGAATTTAACTAGCCCAGCAGAAACTCTAGGAAGCCACTGTTTTGATCGGATCTAGTTCTCTGGATTTATATGGTAAATCCAAGACTCATCCCAGTTATAGTTCACTCCATAAAGTCACCTTATTAGCTTTAATCTTGCTTAAAAATACTCAGCTCATTGAGCTAGTTGATTTTCATGCAACACTTTTGGCATTCGTCTTTTTTTAGCCATCCACTGATCAGAGAGAAGCGCTTGAATACATTTTGTTTGGAATAAACCTGTATGTGTATGAACTAGTATCTGAGTAACAATATTTCTTGATATACCCTTGTCTTACTACATACTTTTAGCTCCTTTTCCTTAAATCCAGGAATTGAAAAATACGAATCTAAGATCAAAGTCTTCTCGTCAACTTTTCTGTCTATACTTTAAACTCTACCCATAACCCAAAGCATGTCTGTCCCTCAATTAGATTTTCCACAGTACAATTTGGAATAATCATACTTTAGTGAAGAAACTGCACTACATTCTTTAATTTTTCCTTAAGCTCTTTCCATTTATTTTCTATTAACACAGATTTTTATTATCTCCTTGTATTAGGTTCTTGTCTCTTTTCAGCATCTGTAGGTCCAGCATTCCTTGGTGATCTCCATGTGTCTTGGTATCAATTTCCCCCTGGATCTGGGAGGCTCCTAGCACAGGAACCTGGGTCCAAAGGAAACACTCCGTTCCCAGCTTTTCCTTCTTGGTGGTAGTAGGTTTCTCTCTATATATGCTTGTTTCTCTCTCCTTTTATCGCTTATAATACAAAAGGTGTTATAGAGCAAAACCCAGGGAAAATCCCCTTATATTGGATGGGATTAAGGGTGTTCTATAAGGAACTCTGGTACCATAATGGTTATGAACCAGGCTGTGAGCCTCTAGGTCAGCAGTTCGAAACTACCAGCTGTTCCGCAGGAGAAATATGAGACTTTCTGCTCCGGTAAACATTTACAGCCCGAAAAACCTATAAAAGGTCGCTATGAGTCGGAACCGACCCCACGGCACATAACCACCATCCCCCCCCTTTAATAATCTTATAATTGATAGGCCTTATCACATCACATCACAACATGGGGAATCGTCATGTAACTGCCAAACCAATGGGAATCATAGTTCACTCCAACTGACATGTATTTTGGAGAGACACAATTCAATTCATGAAAGTCACTTTTATTTTTCAAAAGACATTTTATTTCCTGCAATGGTTTATGAAATACTCATACTAATGATATAAATGTGGACCACTGTTTCTTTTTCATATCATAATAACCATCTATTAAATCTCCCTAAACAAAAGTTTTTGTTGTTGGTAGTTACAGTGACCCTATGTATAGCAAAACGAAATACTGTCTACCCTGTTGCCATCCTTCCAACTGATGTTATGCTTGAGGCCACTGTTGCTGCCACTGTGTCAATCCATCTCATCGGTGGTTGGGGGGCGGGAGGGGTTACTCTTTTCTGATGACCCTCCACTTTACTATGTATGATATACATCTACAGGGATTGGTCCTTCCTGACAACATGTCTAAAAATAGTATTTAACAATAACCAGTGTGGCAAACTGGATATTATTTAAAAATATCCACTCCCTCCACCACCATGGGAGTATACTTCCCATTCCTTGTCTTGGCCTCAGCTGTGTAACTTGCTCTGACTAATGATATGTTGGCAAATACGACAAAAGTAAAGACTTGCAATGTGCTTGCATGGTGGAGTTTGCTCTCTTATATTTCTGATATTATATGACAAGTCCAAGTTAGCCCACTGGCCCAAGATGTTTAAGAGAAGATGGAGTAAACTTAGACCCAGCCCACAAATCTGAATTACCAGTTATCCCTGTGAATTTAGAGGTGGATGAAAAATTATTACTTGATGCGTGGAGATTTTTGTGACTGTTATACAGACATGTGACTGATATAATCTATATCTAGTCTTATAGTTTCCTCTACCTCATCTTATTGCCCCCTACAATGAAGTTAAGTAAGCATTATACTGAATCCTATTAATTATTTTCTTATTTGCTTTTTTATATCATTTTGTTAGATTTTCTTTTGTCATAAGTATAAATCCTTATTTTCATCTAAAAATTATTTATGTATGTGAAAGCTTCACACATTTCTTGGAAAAATTCTACTATCTTTTGATTCCATTTTCTATGTAATTTTTGAAGCCCCATTGTATAAAATTTTTTGAGACTTCACTTTTGTTCATACATATTGCTATAAGCTCACTTATTCTATTTTATAACTATTCAATTTGTGAGTATACTAGTTTATACATTCACTCTTCTGCTGATAGAAACACTTAGATTATTTCCAAGTTTTCGTTATTGTTGACATTGGTACTATAAATGTTCTTGTACATGCTTTCTGTTATCGCTGTGAAAGGGTTTCTTTTGGGTCTATATGAGGATTAAAATTACTGGCTCATGTGGTACACATAGGTTTAACTTTAGGAGATAAAGTCAAACTGTTTTTAAAGACTTCGCCAACTTACTATCCCACCAGCAAGCAACTTAGCCTCACCAAGACCAATATTTTAAGGCTTTAATTTCTTGCCAGTTGAATAGATATAATCTCCTAGTAGTCTTGAAAAAATATTTCCCTGAACACTGACTTTCTCTGAACACAGAGTTTCAAAGTGGTAAGTAAAATGCCCAAAGCCAGAATGATTGGAGTACTGATCTAGAATTAAAAGCCAGGCCTGTGTAGCTCCAAAGTCTACACACTTTCACAAGATCCTGAACCCCTTTCATAAGTATTAAAAACTTCATCATGATTTCAGAAAAACTAATACAAGTAGACAAGAGACTAATTCTGGTATAGGGATTACGATGTAAAAAACATTTTTAATACAAATAATGATTAGATATTGTATAAAAAATTATGTTGTGCTGCCAGAGATTGTTCTATATATAAAACATGAAGGAAAATAGAAAATTAGTGTCTGTAGCTACATTTATTTAGTTAAGGGAGAAGATTCTGAGGGCAGGCTCCCTTGGTTCAAATCAGGACTCCATTATTTATTAACTATGTCATATCTTGGGCAAGCTTGTTTTACCTTTCTGTATCTTCTTTTCAGAGTGCTGTGGGGATTAAATGACATTCTTTATTCTTACCAATTCCTCATAACATATGAAATACATGGTCAGAGTATCCCTTCTTCAGATTAGTATTTTAAAAATTATTTATTTGTATAAAATTTATTGTTCTACTTTTATATTTGATCAAATAAAGCATTAATTAATTATTTAATAACCTTTATTCTTACCAATTCCTCATAAAACCTGAAATACATGCAGGTAGTGTTTCTTCTACCTGTGAATGTATTTTAAAAAAGATAAACCACTTCTTCGAATTAGTCTCTTTGAGTAACTATTTTCCTGGACTTACATACTATGAATGACTTACTTCATCTCTGCTCCATGTTCTCCGCCTTGTAATTGTTAAGTGATCAGGAGTCTCTGTTGGCTGAGGTCTTGGATCACCAGACCGACAGTTGTTTCCTTCTGGTGGTTTAGAATGAACTAATGGAGGGATCTTTCGGAAGTTGAGGCTTTCATCAAAAACACGATCAACCAACTAATAGAACAAAAGTAAACCCTTATGAGAACAGAGTAATTTGGAAAAGTACATATAATGGCATAATTTTATGATTATACAGTTGTTATTATAGTCTTAAGAATTAATAGAAGCATATCTTCAATAAACCAACTACTTTTTCATTTTATAAGTACTTCAATGGTATTTAGTTTACAAAATATTTGTTCATCTACATAGATTTTTACAACACAAAACTAGGATAGGTCAAAAAGTATTGCTACTAGGTTTCCAGTTCATACATGCATGGGTTTAAACATGCATCTGCAATCAGCTGCAGACAAGGTCTCTGAGACATACACTTGTCTTAGTCTTGTTAGGATGTACAGTGAAGTGAATTATTAAATGTCTCTTCTAGCTACAGTCTTTGTAAACTCCTACCAAACATTTTTTCCTGTGTCTCAGTAAGAAAAGCGGGATGATGATGATGGATTATATTGTTCAGTTTTGAGTGACTGTTAATAAGGTTAGTTGTGAAAACTTGGAACTCTACAATGGGTATAAAAAGAGCCATCTCAGAATCAGGAGGGTGGATCTCACTACCATCAAAGAAGAGCCAGGAGTGGAGCATGTCCTTTGGACCCCAAGATCCCTCCCTGCACATTGAACTTCCGTGACCCAGGTAAAGAAAACTGTGACGCTGGAAGAATGGCAGAGGAGGAGCAGCAGTAGAGCCAAGAGCCAGAGCATGAGACAGAGTGGTGGGTTTCCCAGTTATGGAGCAAGTACAGCTCATTGACTTTGGGAATGAGACATATTTATAGATAGGGGTGCTTCCAGGCACATAAAACTGGGGGTACTACATTTGCTAGCCCACGGAGCTGAGTGCTTTAAGCAGGCAGCTTGTTTAGAGAGTGCTGTGCCTCTGGTTTGCTGACCCATGGATCTAGAGCTAATGCCTTCAGGCTAGAGCTTACAGTGGAATACTGTGTATTGTGGGCATTTATCAACAGCCCTAAGAGAGTTTTGTAATGCTGGCATGTCTGCCTGTGGGTATGGCTAAGGAAAGGTTGTTCTCATTGGAACCATGAGGATTTGCTAATTCTATATTGTAATCTGTTAATTTCTCTAATAAACCCCTGAACTATGATGATGGTGTCTGAACTGGGTGTGGCCATTGTAATGAATTATCAAACCTAGATGAGAAGTAGAATGCTATGGGAGAAAAGGTTGGTGCCACATTTTTTAACATGGGGCCTAAAAAAAAGAAGGATACTTTTATGCCTTGAAAATACAACATTTTGAAGTCAGGGCTAGTATCAAATTTTTAACAACCCTCAAGTAGGTGTCCTCCTAAATCACTGAAGTGTTGTAACAAGTTTAAGGAACGCTGTCCCACACAAAACAACAGTTTTTAGATGGATCAAGCACTTTAAGGTAGGTTGGGAAGACCTCAAAGACGAATTCAAAGCAGACAGATTAGCTCAGAAGGTTTTATGGGATTCCAAAGTAATCCTGATACACTTTTCTCAAATGACACAGGATAAATAGGAAGAAATTTCTAAAAAATAGAAACCTGCACCGGTGAGAAAAAGGCCAGGAAAATTGTGCTGAGGAACTTTTTTTTTTCACCATGACAATGTACCTGCTTATTCTTCGAAGGCAGCAAGGGCGGTCCTAGGAGAATTTATTGAAAAACCTTACTGCACCAACCCTACAGCCCTGATCTTGCCTCTTCAGGCTTCTTTTTGCTCCCAAGATTCAAAAAACATTTAAAAAGAACATAGTTTGAGCTCCTTGAGTATGCCACTATTGTTGCTTTCGTGTGATGTAAACTGAATAGTACAGGATTCTTCAAAGAAGAGTTAGTTGGAAACACCACTTTCAGAGGTATATAGACCTAGATGGAAAATATGTTGAGAAATAATAGTTTTATATTTTGATATTTTTGTTTAATAAAGGTTTCTATGATTTTATAGCAATACTAATTGACTTAACTTCACATAACTATATTAAATAGGGTTTCTTCCCTATAGAAAACAGAAGGTAAATAGAAAAAATTAAGCCATGTAGATGGACAATAAATTCCTTTTGGTCACACTGCCTTACTGGTATAAAATAATGTTTCTTTTGCTCTCAGTTTCCAATTTTATTTTTTTCCCCTTTATTTTCCTCTCCAAAACTAGGTGTCAAATTTTGTCACAAGACATAAACTGCAATTAAGTTTAAAAAGGAAAAAGTCAATTTAATCCACAAAATAAGTATCTCAATCTTTATCAGATAAACTTTTAACAAAGCTATAAAAAATATATTCCTGTAAAAATGACAACTGCCATCTACTGTGGAAATTAAATGAATACAATACAAAGTAACTCAGGTTTACTGAAGAGGGACTAACTCTAGTACAATAATTTAATATAAAACAAAAAGGGAGAATGGAAATTTAGTCAATGAAATGTTTGAATAATTTTACTATGTCTCAGTTAAAGTGTAATCATGCTAGATAATATTCAGTTAGGCAGCTGAGAAAATAATATCCTTATTATTTTTTAAAGTATCAGATGAATTGTGTACGTCTTGCCACCAAGAAGATTGTTTCGTTTTTCACCAAGAAGGATGTTTTATATACATTTACAATTGATCGATGTGGTAACAAAACTCTATACAAACAGACCAACAAAACATAAATTACTAAATTAGATAGTAAATCGGGGGAAAAAAAAACTAAAACAAGTGACCATTAAAGAACTAGATTAAGAAAGGAATGTGACAAACAGCAATGAAAGAAAATGTTATTAATATCAGCACAGGCTACAAAAATTAAATGTGTCTAAAAGGTACCCATTTTAGACTACTATTTAGTACATTATTTTATAAAACTAGCCAAGTGAAATCATCTGTGTCAAGGGTTTGGTAAGCACTAGATTATAATAAATACTTTAAAATTTGTGGTCATATTGTCATCTTTTTCAATTATTCAACTGTATTATTGCAGCACCAAAGCAGCCATGTTTTTGTTAGGTTCTGCCATGTGAATTCAACTCAAAGCATTTCCATGTGTCACAGATAACAAATGAGTATGGCTGTGTTCTAATAAAACTTTATTTATGGTTGCTGAATTTTTAACTTCATATAATTTTTACATCACAAAAGATTATTTTTTTTCCCCCAACCACTTAATCATGTAAAAACTATTCCTAGCTTTTAAATCACATAAAACAGGTGATGGGCTGTAGGTTGCTAATCCATGAACCTCAAAATTCATTCTTTCAAATGCTAATCCTTAGCTTGCACTTCTGCCCCAGATCAAGATGGCCAACATGGCCAGAGAATGTTATTTATTTTGTATTATGCTAAAAGCACCTTATACATCAATATTATATAACGGTGCCTTTTTAAGTCATGCAACAGGAAGCCCTGCTTTTGCATGGGGAATAGTCTATACATGCTAACTTAAGTTCAAAAGTTTACAAGAATATTTTAAAACTAAACAGGTATATATGTATTTATGGGGGGGAGCATACAGGCATACTTCATTTTATTGAGATTTACTTTATTGCACTTAGCAGACAATGCATTTTTCACAAATTGGAGGTTTGTGTCAACCCTGTATTGAACGAGTCTATTGGCTCCACTTTGTGTCCCTGTGTCTCGTTGTCACAGTTTGGTACTTCTTAATGATACCGTGGTGCTGTAGGATCAGTAATGGACTGTGAGCCACATGGTTGATAGTTCAAACTCAACAGCTGCTCTTCAGAAACCCTATACAGGGTCGCTATGAATCGGAACTGACTTGGCAGCACTTAACAACAAGTTGTTAGTAGATAAGAGTAGATAATAACAACAACTTAGTATATAAGAGTATACTGTAAACATTACTTTTATATGTACTGGAAAACCCCAAAAATTGTGACTAATTTTATTGCGACGGTCTGGAACAGAACCTGCAGTATTCCTAAGATCTGCCTGTGTGTGGGTGTTTATTGATTTATTTCAATTTTCAAAGTATCCTTGTGTATACATGTGCATACATATATAATTCATCAACAAGATTATTTCAGGTAGTGAATACTGTAGAATTTTTTTTCTTACTTATTTGCTATCAAAATATCTTCTTAGTTATAGCACTTTCATAGCCCAACTTTATACAATCACTTACCAAATTTTGGTTTGCCTTTCAGATAACATTTATATTCATATTTTAAGTAAAACTATGAACCCGTAGTTAGCAAACTGCCTATTCTAAATAAGTTTCATTTCATCAAATGTTAGCCTTTACTAGTTTTGTCACACAAACAGAAATTTGTTAAAGCAAAGTTGGAAAATGCAGAGCTTCATGCAAACATGGAGGGTGGACATAACTAAAATAAACTAAGCAAAAAGCTAAAAGCAAACGAAATAAAGAAAAGAAAGAACCTTATGCATTTCTCCATGAAGATCTCCTACCTCTTCTCTAGTGTCTATGGCAGAGCCAGGGGTGGTGGCAGCAGTGCTTACTGTGGTACTAGGGGCAGTGCCTGACGAAGTCACTGAATCTATCTCGCCTGCTACATCGTTGATTTCCCGAGCAATGAGTGCAAGATCTTGGCTGATCCTGGTAATAATTTTAGAAAAGACATTTAATCCCTTTTAAGTAACAGTTCTAGAAATAAAAAATTTTGACATATTGGTTACATTGGTTATATAACAAATTAAAGAAGTTTTATAACTAAAACTTAATATTTTTTGGAAATGCAATTAACTCTTTTGCTACTGAATTTTAAAACTTCACAAATTAAAATTAATTAAATAAAATTCCAAATAATCTGTAAGATACCACACCTTGGAAAATATATTGTAAACACCCTGAAATAGTGTTATGTCATGTTTTTAAAAAGGAGTCCTAGTTTGGCTCTGTGAGATAAAACACTGAACTACAAGGTCAGTTTGAATCACAAGGTCAGAGGTTCAAACTCACCAGTCACTCCTTGGAAACTCTATACAGAGTCTCTAGGGGTTGGAACCTACTACATGGCACTTAACAATATTTTGTAAGGCACTGTTAGTGTGATTGACAAGCATTTTTATGTCACAAAGATCTGAAACATGGAAGTGGTAATGCACAGAATTTGAGGGCTCTATGAATTTGGAGGAGGAAAAAACAAATCACAGCTCTACTTTCACTTCTAACTGAAGTTTAGCATTTCTTTCAAATAATACACTACATGATATTGGTATTAGGATTATTTTTGTCAACAACAGAAATTACCTAACAGTTGCTATGAATATTTCAAAGTTTCATTTACACTCTCACTACTTCAAAATTACTGCAGTCACTAAACCCACAGCAGCAATAAGGTTTTATTTACATTTTAATAACGAACTACATTATTATTGTACTACTTTAAAGGTATTTTTGATAACTTAAAAGCTACTAAGCAGAAACAGATCCCAGGTTTAGTGCTAATTTCCATTAATTCATTTGTGTTTTCAGCCATATGGACTAAAGAACCAAATAATTATCAGTGATAATAAAAAATAAAAATAGAATTTTACATAATCTACCATTGACATTCCCATATTCCTCAAAAGTTACTTAAATTCAATGAAACTTGAAAGATTTATAAGTTATACATGAACAGCACATGAACTCAATTTATATCCTTAGGGAAGGCTTTGGAATGATAGAATATTCTTAAAAGTACACATGAAAGCTTCTGTAACTTTAATACCCAAAGTAAGTACACAAAGTAAGATTTCTAACTTATGTAAAATGAGTTTGAAAGACTTTCAGGAAAGTAGTGATTAAATAAAAAATTAACTATAGTTTTAAAGAAAAGCTAAAATGAAGCTACAGCCCAATAAAAGCAATTATGATCAATTAGCAAACAGTGAAATCTCTGACAGCCAGACTTGAAGGGATTGCCTTGCTTTTCTGGGTCCACAAGTTTTATGCCTTTGCCAAGGTACAGTCTTTATCAGTTTTCTATCTTTCCTTTTAGTGGAAAATACTTGAATGTTCCTTCTCTGTTAGGTTTCTACCTTATATGGTTCCGGCTTTCACAGATTTTACTGTATATGATTTATAAAAAATGACAGATGATTTATCCCTCTTCTATTTACCAATACAAAAAGGCAGAAGAAAACCAATAAATGTTTAACTAAAACCCTAACTATGCCCAGGCACTGTGTTATGCTTTCAGGACTATAAAGGTGAAGGCAGTAAACAGGGTCCTTGTCCTAATGAACTTTAGAATACACATAACAAGCAAAATCATATTATGATGAGGGTCATAATAATATACTGAGTACAAGTGTTATTGCTAAGTGCTGTTGAGTCGGTTTTGACTCATAGAGACGCTGTATAGGGTTTCCAAGGCTTTATGTCTTTGTGGGAGCAGAAAGCCTCATGTTTCTCCCGCAGTGTAACTATTGCTGTTGTTACATGCCTTTGAGTGGGTTCCGACTCTTAGCAACCCTGTTTAAGGTTTCCGAAGAGCAGCTGGTGAACTTGAACCAAAGATCTTGTGGTTCAAACCAACCTTGCAGTATAGCCCATTAACCTGCAGCACTATACCAGAACTATTAAGAACCTCTAAATTCATTCTCATTTAATTCTTGTAAAAGAGCTATAAATCATCTTGTTTTACAAATGAGGAAAATAAGGCTTAAGAGAAGTTATATGGCCATTTTGGGGACAAGGTCACAATGAATAAGTGACTTAACTAGAAGATATTTTTATTATGTTATGCTGTATCACACATAATCATTCATATATATGCATGTGTGTGTGTGTATGTATGTATGTGTGTATACATACACACATACATGCATATATATATATTTGTATGTATATATACACACGCATACACACACACACATATATATATATATATATACATATATAGGAGTCCTGGTGTGGTGCTGTGGGATAAAGCACTTGACTGCAAGGTTGGTTTGAACTGCAAGATTAGCGGTTCAAACTTATCAGCGTCTCCTTGGAAACCCTACTTGGCACTTAACAACAACAATCAAACAATGACAAAGGAAGAGGAAGATGAAGCTTTCTGCTCCTGTAAATATTCAGAGTCTTAGAAACCCTATGTAGGGTTGCTGTGAGTCAGAACCAACTGGATGGCAGTAGGTGTGCTTTGTGGTCATTTTTGGTTTGTTGTGTTGTTAAGCATGTTGAATCAGTTCCCAGTCATAGTAAGGTTCAGTGCACTATCCTGTAGCACCACACCAGGACTCCGCTGAAAAACTTTGTTGTTAAGTGCCATCAAGTCAGTTCTGATCCATAGCAACCTGTACAGGGTTTCTGAGGAGCAACTAGTAAGCTTGAACCGCCAACCTTGCAGATCAAACCGTCTTTGCAGTCCAGTGCTTAGCACCTATTAAAACCAGTATCGTTATTATTGTACTATCTCATATCAACCCAACGGGACAAAGGAGAACTGCTCCAGTGGGTTTCCTAGACTTTTGTCTTTACAGGAGCAGATCTCCAGGTAGTTTCACCTGTGAACCACTGGATGGGTTTGAACTACCAACATTTTGTAGTTGAGCTCTTAACCACTATGCCACCAGGGCTCTTTAAAATCAGCATCAGGAATTCTAAACAGCAAACAAAATTATCAAAGAAAAACCCAAATTATGGACATCTTCCAAGTACAAGTATCAGATTTATGACTTAATAAAGAATATGTACGGGTCTATTCACGTGCTTTAAAAAATAAATCTAAGCTTCATATTAATTGTGTATTTCTTCTAAATTATGCTTATTAGAATATTTTGTAATACTGCATTTGGTTGCATCTCTTATACTTGTGCTTTTTAAATCCAAGTCTGCAAGGCCTCCTGTTCCTGTTCTAATTCTCTACCCCTTTCAAATCTGCCAGAAGAGGAGACTCTAAAACAACACTACATTTTACTTTAGCTTTTGGGTCTTAAAATATATCTGCTTCCTTTAAAATGTCAATAAAAATTCAATTTGGGAGTTCAATATGAAAACCTAATAAGAGGCGTGTCACACTAAATTTCATTTTCTTTATTAAAAATGTTGGAAGGTCCAACAGTGTCTAAGGAACAAAATGCAAATTAAGGGTTAAGTTCTATAACATTATTACTAGTCTATTGTCCTGAGTATCAGAATCATTGAGTCAATTTTTTAAAAATCAAGTATACATTATTTGTAAAATGACAAAATAACACGGAGGCACTTTATAAGTCATGAAGTTTATTATTATCTTACATAAACTATCTCTTTATATCAATTAAAGGTTATTTTCCACTGAAGGGTTGTATTCCGGAAAAAAACGTATTAGTTATATGCTTTGAGCACATTAGAACTTAAAAGGAAATACTGAAAAATTAGAGTCCCAGTGAAATTCTGGTGTGGCACTGTAGATCAGCGCTAGACTGTTAACCACAAGACTGGCAGTTCAAAGCCACCAGCTGCTCCTCAGAAACCCTATACAGGGTCACTATGAGTCAGAACCAACTCGATGGCACTTAACAACAATAACAAAAAACATACAACATAGGCAACTGTTATATTATAGTATAACAGATACAAACATTTACTGATTCAAACTGACAACAAAACACTTTCATGTTTCCAGTTAACTATATAAGACCTGCTTTATCTTTTTTAATAGCATATTAAGGTCAAAAAATTTTTGTATGAAGGGGCGTCAAAAGTTCGTGAAAAACTTCATTTTTCCACGAACTTCTTGAAACCCTATCATACATACGTAGAGTTTCAAAGAACTGTTTTCTTTGACATAAATGGAAAAAAGCAATTGTTGGGCTCTTAATGAAGTATGTTGTTACATGCCACCAAGTCAGTTCTGACCCATAGTGACCCTGTATAGAGTTTCCAAAGAGCGGCCAGCGGGTTTGAAGCACTGACCTTGTGGTTCAAACTGACCTTACGGTCCAGCTCATTATTCTGCAGTGCCACACCATACTAGCTTAAAAATCCTAGTACTGAAGTTAATGTCAGCAAATCAATCTTCCTGTTACCTTTGCATTGGCTAAGTGATTAAAACTATAATTTTAATTTCTTAGCTTTTAAGAAATGATTTATTAGTATAGCTTTTAAATGTAAAATATAACATTAATTTAAGAAGAGGAGAATCATTTCTGGAAAGCTTATGATTTTCCTATTTTCTAAGAGGGTTTAGTAAGAGAATAAAAAGGGCTACCGGCAGACGAATACTCAGGGAAAACTGGAAAAAGGAAGATATAAGGAGAAGGAAAAAAAAAAAACAAACCCCAAAAAACATGAGATCAACAACATAAATATCGAATTGAAATAACCATTGTACTATATAAGGAGTCACATTTGGTTGTTGAAATGAGCTTTCCTGCTGAGGCTCAAAAGAAAGAGAAGATGCAAGACTTTATTCTCCTCACTAATAGTCTTATGGACTTCAGATGTGACACTGTAGGATAAGCACAGGACTACAAGGTCAGCAGTTTAAACTCATCAGTTGTTCATCAGAAACCCCACAGTAAGTCACTAAGAGTTGGAGCTGACTTGATAGCTCTTAACAATAACAACAAACAGTCTTATAGTAGTTATCTAAAAACATAGAGAAATATAGTAGATGATTCAAAGAAAATTATTTCAAAGTCATATTTGATAACACTGATGTATTCAAAAGACATTTAAAACAATCAATGTGTGTATTCATCACGATTAATCTGTACATTTTCATCCATTTTAACTGCCTAGGCATTCAATTCTGTCAATTTTTCTTTCACAATGTTCCCTTATATCTATTCTTTTCCAGGCAAATGCTTATCATATTTTCTTATGTTCTCAACTTCTCATGAATGTATCACTGCCAAAGACTCATAACTGGTTGTTTTTTTTCTTCTGGAAGTATATGAAATATGAAGACAAATATTCCTTAAGGAATAATTTCATATCAGTTATCTAATTCTTTATTTCCTCATTATTTTTCTGGGATTCAAAAATATTCACCACCATCAGTTTCACCTACCCATTTTTACTTCCTGTTCCCAAACCAAAAAACCGACTTCTGTAAAGTCACTTATGACTCATAAAGAGCCTATAAGACAGGGTAGAACTGTCCCATATGTCTTCCAAGGTGGTCAATCTTTACAAAAGCAGACTGCCACATCTGTCACACCCCTTTCCCTCACAGTGGCTGGTGAATTACCAAGTTTTTGTTAGCAGCAGAGCACCTTAACCATAATGTCACCCAGGCTTCTTATTATGATACTAAAAGGACATTTTCTCCAAAAAAGCAACTGCAAGTAAATAGTCACTAAAACAAAACAAAACAAAACACACCACATTAAGCTAATGAGCTAGAAAACATATAGAATACACAGAAGTCAACAGAACAGAGGGAAAAACAGGAATACACATGAATTAAATTATGGTAACTGTTTCCTTTAAAAGACTATGGATCACTATATATAAGTCTAATAATTTTACCAACTATAAAAAAGCACAGTAAAGACAGGAATAATTTTGGCATGCATATGGTGCAAAAGTTTAGGTGGCATCTAAAATACAGTATAAAACACCAGTTGCCATTGAATCATTGGTGGTGGTGGTGGTTATGTGCCGTGGAGTCGGTTCTGACTCATAGTGATTCTGTACAGGGTTTCTGAGGCTGTAAATCTTTATGGGAGCAGAAAGCCTCATCTTTCTCCCACAGAACAGCTGGTAGTTTCGAACTGTTGAACTTGAGGTTCGCAGCCCGATTTGTAACCACTACGCTACCAGAGCTCCTTAGCTCCTGGCAAACCCCTGTTGAGTTAATTCCTTCTCATGGCAAACCCATGTTTGTCAGAACACCACAGGACTCTCACATGAGTGAATTTTAGGAAGCAGATAACTGGACCTTCTTCCAAGGTACTCCTGGAAAGGCTTGAATTGCTAATCTTTCACTTAGCAACCAAGTACTTAATAATTTGTACCATCCAGGTACATAAAACATGGTATACCACAATAAATCCAGTATGATATAAACCTTTAGAAACAAAACATTTCAACTGTTATAACATCTGTTTGAGCATAACCTCTCTGAAATATTCAACCGTAATGTTATCAATTAAAAATTCCATCTACAGCACAAATTTAATTTGTTTTACATAATCTGCTTTAATACTTAAAATAAGCATATTTTGACTTAATGAAGAATAAAAGACTGAAAAACTAAACTTAATGAATTTATAAAACTACAAATATAAAAAACTGCCTATATTAATTCTCCCCAGATAACATTAGTAGCACATTTATAAGAAGCACACTATTACCTGTCTAGAAGTTAAACACAGTAATTTACCTCAATAATTTAAATTATGTACAGTTGACACCGATTGCCTTTCAATAATTTTACTAAGTCACCAGCATCTCTACTAAAATTAAATAATAAGAGAAGGGAAAGAAAGAAAGAAAGAAGGAAGGAAGGAAAGAAAGAAAGAAAATGGCTCTACAATATATTATTGGCATTAAAAAAACAAACAAAATGAAAAATGCTGAATGGAACATAATTACAGATAAAACTCGGTTTATAGTTTTCAACAGATTTCATTTCTTGTACTAGTATGACAAATCAAGTAAAAGTCAAACTTTACTGCCAAGTTAAAATGGCAAAACATGTCGACTGTTAAAGAGAATCCATTAAACCAACCTCGCTATCTCTTCTCGATGAGCAGTCCAATCACGGATGTAGTCTTCCTGTTCCTTTATCCGATGTTTGAAGGAAGAACTAGTAGGCATTGTTGATCCAGTGCTCTGCAATCGAGTAGTTTTCAGGGCTGGAGAAGTACGTAGACGAGTATGTTTAGGGGAATTACGGTTTGATCCAAATTCATCTTCTGAGGTGGAAGCATAATCAGTAGGAAAGCGCCTCCATCTTGAATTTACTAAATTAGTTTAATTATTAAAAAAAGAATTATTATGTTATCTTTTAAAGGAGATAAAATAAAAATCATGATTTCAAAAACACCATGACAGTACACACAGAACAATTTTCAGTAACATACACATACATATCTCACAAAAATCATAAGAGTCTACCACTCCTTAAAAATAGGAGCATTACACTTTAGTGAAATAAACATGAATAATTAAAAGCAATTGAAAAACTGTGTTTTCTCTAACATGGTAAACAGACATTCAGATGAACAATTTCACTAATGATACACAACTAGCAAGCTCTATTCTTGAGTGTTTAATCTGGATACCTCTTAATTACAAATATCTATTCTCATCTGATTGACAATGTGTGTTTTGTTTTGTTTTTAATGACAGCAACAACACAAGAAAAATAAAAACAAGGGAAAAGATTTCCTCATGCCACATGGACTTTCAAAATGAAGATGGTTAAAAACTCTTTTCCCAACATACAAATGTACATAATTCCTGCTGTGGAAATTATGCCTTTATGGCAGAAAATGAAAAAGAGATATTACCTCTGTCATTCAACATCCTGTTACGCTATGGTTGGAAAAAATCTTTTTACATGGTAAAACAAAAAACAAAACACAATAAACCATCTTCAATACAACTCTGCTGCTTTAACACTGAAAGCATATGGTGAAAATAGACAATGGCATAAAAGCCTACCAGAAGTGGATCTCTACAAGTAATTTTCACACTCACTGACATTTAAGCACATTGTGAAAAGCCACATTAAAGAAAGTGAAAGTCACTTTCTTTCTGAAGGTTAATAATAAAGACAGTTTAAAAATGGTACTGTAGACACATTTGAGAAATCAGAAGACAAAGCAGACACTTTCGATCATTTCTACTGAGTGTCAAACATACAAAGAATCTGTGATACTTAAGTAGAAATAGGGAGTCCTGGTGTGGTGCTGTAGGATAAACACTGGACTGCTAACTGAAAGGTCAAACCTACTACCAGCTCCTCCTCGGAAGCCCTCTAAAAGGTCACTAGGAGTCAGAACCAACTAGAGAGCACTTAGAGGCAACAACAAGTAGAAATAAAAAACAGGAACATAATAGCTACTTCATTGCAAACTAATGAGGGCAGAAACTATGTATGTCTCATGAGTGGTCAAAAATGCACAGCAATTAGCAGAGTGTCTGGCCAAGCGGTGTTTAACATTTTCGAATAAATGAATGAATTCCTAAATACAAAACATTTGCTTTTCTAAAATAAGAAAAAAATATTGTTGTTGTTAAGTGCCGTCGAGTCGGTTCCGACCCACAGCGACCCTGTACAGGGTTTCAGAGGGTGTAAATCCTTATGGGAGTAGAAAGCCTCATCTTTCTCCCGCGGAGAGGCTGGTAGTTTCGAACCACTGACCTTAAGGTTCGCAGTCCGATTCGTAACCACTACGCTACCAGAGCTACATGGATATTTTTAGTGGTTATTAGTGATGAAAATTTAGAATCTGCTAAAATAAGTTACAACTGCTGTTAAGTGCTGTCAAATATGTTCCAATTCATAGTAACCCTGCTAGGGTTTCTGAAGCTTTTTAAATCTTTGCAGAAGGCCTCATCTTTCTCCTGTGTAGTGGATGTTGGGCTTGAACTGCAGACCTTGTGGTTTGCAGTCCAGTGTTTACCCTATGGAGACACCATGCTCCTATCTGTTGTTAATATTAGAAAAGTTCTTTTTCTCTAACATAAACTCATGCTAGGCTGTGTAGGCTATTCTAGTCCAGAATTCCTTTATTCTAAAATAAAACACACACACAAAACCCCACTGCTCTTGATTCCACTGCGACTCATAGCAACCTTATATGGCGGAGTAGAACTGTTCATAGGGTCTCCCAGGCTGTCAATCTTTATGGAAGTACATTGCCTCATTTTCCCCCTGCAGAGTAGCCAGCAGAATAGCCAACACTTCCTCTCTCCTAGAATTGTTTACCTTTCACGACTTTTCCCCCACAAAGCTAATTTAAAAATACTTTTTGCCTGGGGCTCTCTAAGGCTGAGTAAGCACTCAGACAAAACTTAACTACATCACCACTAGAGTTGGCTTAGGAAACAAATCTACAATTAAGAATACACTCTTACAGTCTACCCTTTTGTCCTCATTCACATATTAAATGTTTGGTTCTACTTCAAAAGCCTGAGGCTTATAACAAGATTCAAGGGTATAAAAGGAGCAAATGCAGAAAGCGCAGGGCTTTCTGTAGAAAGGCATGCAAACACACAGATTGTAGGTAACTGATCATAGATTCTTTTAAAGGAATGGGGCTTAAATATAATTTCTGATTTTACTCATTTGTAAACATTAAATTTTCATGAACTGAACTGACTCTGATAGTTGAGTACAATAAATACGCTGAGAATTCTTATCTGTAAAGGAAAAAAAATCACTCATTTAACATGTGTGTAAGTATAACATTAATTGAAGGTTACGGATAGAATCAATGATATTTAGGAGAAAAGTTAGGAATGTGGCAAATGAACTAACAGATTTGCAATTTTCAATGATATTTCATCAAATGTTAAATGCACATTTATTTTTATACCTTAAAATATTTTCTATAAAATTTAATTTATAAATAAGTAAAATAGGTTAAATTTCCAGAGTTTTGATTGGGAAACTATGATCATTATGACTATAACTGAAAATTATTTGGAGAGAAAGCCAGTAAAAGAGTTTAAATAAATTGTAGAAGATACAAAAACATAAAGCAAGTATGATGGAACGCAGGAAATTTACAGGTAATTTAGCAAGAACGGCATCAACAGCTTACATATTTTATGAGTATGTGTGAAGGCAGAATACATATTGAGGGGATTTGAGCTGCCAGTCTCTTAAGACGTGCCTTGGTTGATGAAATGCTGGAGAAAAAAGCCTTCACCATACAGTAAAATAAGAGAAAGTTCCAAGATAGGGTTAACTAATCTTGTAGCTCACCTGAAGCTTATTTTAGTTATCACACTAATTCCAAAACTCATGGTGCTGTAGGATATGCACTGGACTGCTGACCACAACATCAGCAGTTCAAACCCACCAGTTGCTCTGAGGGAGAAAGATGAGGTCTTGAAAACCCTATACAGGGTCACTAAACATCCAAATGAATTCGATGGCAGTAAGTTTGGTTTTAGTTATAAAATTATGCCATACTCCCTCTTGTGGAAGTATTAAGAAACTACATTCACTATTTAAAAAAAACAAAAACAAAAAACAAAAAAACTAGAAACTTAAAAAGGGGATAAATTCTGTGAATGACCTTAGTCTTGCATTTAGTGATAACCAAAACTTCTTTGACATCAACATTCACATCTCCAGATTTAACAGTATCCTTTCAAAAAACAAACATAACCTCTTCATATTTTATATCAGAATACTTCAGTGGGAAATTAAATCACAAACATGTCTGCATGTACGCTAAGTGTACATAAAATAATTTAGAGGGGAAATCCCTGATAATTTTCTGTTTCAGAATTTTATCTGGAGGAAGAATTAATTCAAGCCATGAATGCTTACCACAAAATGCTACCATCTATACATTTTGAGGACTATAATAAAAAAGGGAAAGCAAATAGTCTACACATTCTTTAAGGATATTAACATAATGTTTTTATTTTCTAGGATATGTACTTAAAACATGATGAAACCATCTGTTTTATATTGATAATTCAGGGTTGTTAAGTGCAATCGAGTCAACTCATAGCGGCCCTGTCTAGGGTTTCTGTGGAGTGGGCTGGTGGGTTTGAACCATTGACCTCATGGTCCACTGTATAACCTATAGCATCACACCAGGATAAATGACTTAAAATATATCTTATTTTAAAGATCTGGAACCTCTTTCTAAATTATGCTTTATTTCAAATACATATCTTTCAACAAATATAATTAGGAATTTTAAACATACTGTCAATTTCTAAAAAAAAAAATGCCATGGTAGTTACTTATTACAACTTGATATTGAAGGACTATTGAAGGAATTTGGGGGGGGGGAACCATTAAAAGAAAATCACAGTTAAAGAAACATAAAACAACTCAATCTTAATTTGGTTAAACCAGAGATTTCTATTCTTCTATTTTTGTCATACACATTTCTTTGAAAAACACTGTTAGACATAATCTAAAACAGGACATTTAAAATAGTACACAATTGTTTTTATGTATGTCAATAGGCTCTAAGTTTAAATACTGCCAAGATCTTCAAAGTTTACACTGGCATAGCAATATTGAGCAGTCTAATTTCACACTCCTTTAAATGATAATTTTAAAGCTAAGAATCTTTCTTTTTCTATTTAAGATACTATGTTTTAAACAGGAGTATATTAAAGACTTGTCAACAACAACAACATATTAAAGACATCTAATTTAGGAATCTTGAAAAGTATATATTTTTAAAATTACATACCTGTACACCTTCAAGAAATTATGTTTTATATAGAAATATATAAAAGATAATCCATTTAGTAATATTAAAAACTGGTGCTTTTTAAAAATTACCTACCACTTAAAAAAAAATTTAAGTTGTCAAAGAATTTATTTGCTCGGCTCAACCATCAACATGGAAGCAGCAGGCAAGAAATCAAAAGACATACTACATTAGGCAAATCTGCTGCACAAGATCTCTTTAAAGTGTTGAAGAGCAAAGATGTTAGTTTGAGGACTAAGGTGCGCCCAACCCAGCCATGGTATTTTCAATAACCTCATATGCATGTGAAAGTTGGACAGTGAATAAGGAAGACCGTAGAAGAAGCGATTCATTTAAGTTACAGTGTTTGAGAAGAATATTAAAAGTATCATGGACTACCATTTTTGTTGTTGTTAAGTGCCGTTGAGTCGGTTCCGACCCATAGCGACCCTGTACAGGGTTTCAGGAAGACCGTAGAAGAAGCGATTCATTTAAGTTACAGTGTTTGAGAAGAATATTAAAAGTATCATGGACTACCATAGAGGAAGATAAAAAAATTTGATAAG